CGGAAGAGCTTTCTCACCACTGACATCCTTCTCGCTCTGCATTGCTGCCTCCCCTCTATTATTCCAAGCAGTTCCTGAAAACTACAAAGGAAAATGGGCTGAAAATGAAGATGTTTCCAAAGAAGTAACAACAAAAATTGCCAAGTACTAGTTAGTAGCTGAGCATTCACTCAAAAGTATAGAAAATAGTTTTCCCCTCAGGATTGTTTCTGTATTTCACCTTAAAAACTGCTAGGACTTGTCTTCTGACTCCAGTTCATAAATTGTTCCAAGTCTATTAAGATGTATAATTCTTTGTTACTACACAGGGAGCTTGGATTTTTACAAATGTCTAATATTTACTTGTAAGTCTAAACCCTAGAACGAAAATTCTGTGGAATGTTTGCTCTTTAATTCTTAAAACTGTGTGCAGACTGGATTTTTCCTGGTGCTTATGAGAGCCTGCTTCTGCAATGGTGATGTCCATGGCCATGAGTTCATGTATTTAAAAACGCAAAGAATAAAAACTGTTTCAGTAGTGGCAGCCATTTTGTCAAGAACATAACATAAGCACTATAAAACAGACATAAAACACTTTACGAGTGAAAACTGTGCAATTCTCTTATTTAAGGTTATACCTTGTGAGTCCTATATTTATGACATGACCCTTGTTATCAATTAAAAAAATATGATTTGTACCTTTTCTGCCAAGTCTACAAAGAATTTTAAAACCTGTATTATTCACCTATGTTTGTGTACACACACATTCTGGATAAAATTAAAAGCTGTGTAAGTTCAAACTAAAGTACAATTGAAATCCCTTTAACACTGAATTAAACTGAGCTCATATAAATCAACTATACTGAATATTCAGAGAAGGGGTTGAGATCAGGTACCTAAATATAGGGAAACAGTTACAGAAAATAAATACAGTCACCCACCTCCAAGAGAATACTGCCAGTGTCACACGAACAATCTTGTAACAGCAGTGATGATGCTCACTTTGTTTTGGTGTCAGAGCATACACAGAGATGAGCGGAGTTATATCCTATTTTACATCCCTAAGACAAACTGCATTCCTGTCTCCAGATTTGGCTCAATCTATTTTTTTTTCCCATTTTTTCTACCTTTTCTCTTGCTACACAAATAAGGAGGAACAGATTATTACTAGTAAATCAGAATAAAGCACAATTCCAATTTCTCGTTGAAAACAGAAGAAATAATGACTACTCTGATACTGCAGAAAACAACACTAAAATGCCTTACTTTAAAAGAAATACATAGACCATTTAGTACAGCTATTTGACCTTGTTCTCTCCAGCTCAACTTCGTTTTTCCCACTGTGTATTTGTAATAAGATAGTAACTGTAATAAGGATAAAATCCTGTTCCCGCTGACTGAGGTCAGGAATTCACTTTTTGTTTAAGTGCAGAACAGATGGGTGACATTTTATCAGCATGGCAAACATTTCAAATGTCAGGTAAGTTTGGGGTTTTTTTAAGAATACAGCGCAGATCAAGGACTTGAAAAAATACTGAGGAGGGAAAACCCAACTGATACAAACTCTTCCACCTAAAATATGTATCATATTCTGAACAAAAGATTTCAATCATGTGAACCATGGGTGCAAAGACTTTAAAATAATTAAATGCATGAAGTATGGATACAGTAAAGAACCCAAACATTTTGCTTATAAACTCTGTAAGTGCATGTCATGAACTAGAAGGTATGATTTTCTGTGAGTGTATGAATGGAATGCGATCATCATATTTTAACTAATTTTCAGATGTTCCTTCTTATTGAAGGAAAACAGAGCATGACAAAGGCAGATCATATATTGATTCTTTCAACACCAAAATGAAAAAGTTTATGTGTTTTTAATATGCATTTAAGTGAGACAAAAATGTAACTGAGACAGATGCAGCATTTTTTATCATTTTACCTGGCTTTTACAGAGCCAGTTAAAAAGTGTATGCTATTGTTAATAGGAAAATATAAACATTACATATTATTAATCTATTTTTGCCTCATTCACTTAGGAAAAGTTGCCATGTCTTTTGCTACTTCCCAGAATGATCAGGCCATTTATTAGGGTAAAAACATTCATTACTTTTAAACAACAGATCAGTTCAGAGGTATATGTCTTGCCAGAGGTTTATATCCTTATAAAAACTACAGCAATACCAGCATCTACTTTTTATCTGGGAGAGAAAGTAGCTGCCTTCATGCTGAGCTATTCCGTTTCTTTTTCTTCTTTAGCAGTGGAGCTTCCAATTTTTGCTTCTCTGGAGCAATTTTTCTTTTTCTTTTTGCTGTTTTACCAGTTTTCTCAGTCCAACAAACTTTGTTTTTCCTGACTATTGATGGTTTTTCATCTTCATTTGCTGAAAAAAAAGGCAAGAAATTATTCACACTGATACTTATGTCCAGTCTGTATAGTCTAAAATGGCACAGAGACATATTTGTATCTCATTTGATAAAAGGGGTTATAATGATTTTTTTATTTACAGTGAAATGTGCAATTCATGCTAGCTCTGCCTGTGATAGGAAAATATGTAGAGATTATTAAATAGATTACAATACAGAAAAACAAGAGTAAAAACTCTAACTGAGCCAGACATCCTAAGTTTCTCTCGCCTACCCTCAGATCTAGGTAAAAAAATTAGGCCTCAGACATTTTTTTTATAGGAAAACAAGACAGGCACTTCTATCAAACTGTTTTTTCTTTTCTTATCTGTCTCAAAAGCTTCACAGTAGCTTTCACAGTAAATTATTCCAGTAAAGAAAAACAAAACTTTCATATAATAAAAGTGAAAAAAAGTTTATGTATGTCCTACAACACACATAAGATGCTATCAGATTGGTAAGGATATCTGTATCACTTCCCAGTGTCTTATCGCCAGTTCTTCAATATACTAAAACTTTTTCCAATGCATACACTAAAAACCTCCCACTTAGTATATTCCATTTCATAGTCATATCAGCAACTGAAAATACATGCAGTTCTCTTACCTTGAGACGATGTTGCAACCTTATCAGAATTTTCTTTAATTTCTGAAGCTTGATCAAGCCATACTGCAAGACACGTCAGTCTAGCTTTGGTATTGACTTCACACAGTAAAGACGGCCCATCTTTAATCTGAAGATAATACAGAAAGAAAGATTAATTAAATATTACTTTTGTTTAAATTTACTGAAGTATTTAAAGTGAAAAAGTATCTTACTGCCCCCTTTCCATTTCATTTGTGGTGCCTAACAAGGTTTATAACTAGAGGCTGTGTAATAGTTAATGGTCACATTGTTACACTCCTGTTCCTGGTACTACTCAGTGGTGGTTTTACAAACAAAAATCCCCGTGGCTTTAAGAACGTATCTTGATAAGCAAGATCAGTGGGTTTCAGGCATATGGGGTAAGTTTAACATGAGGAATAACTAGAAGAATTATAGACACCCCAAAAACCATAATGGTTTCAGAAATTTCTCTAGAGTAATAGGGTTTTTTTGTACAGCTAAAATAATTTGAATTAAGTTACTGCATCAGATTCCTTTTCTCCCTCACAAAGACAAGGCTGCTGATCAAAAATAATCTCTTCAGAGTGCAGTTTTATCAGTCAGCTCTGCAAAAGCTTGAGCAAATATCTTACTACAGATACCGGGGGATAAAGTGTCACAAACATGTGCAACATAACAGCATCAACCCATCAGAAACTACTTGCATTAGGATATTCTACCTCACAGAGCTGGACAGAGCAGCCCACAATATAAAGTTTTACAAAATTTTTTTGAAAAGGAAGAAAATCACATGTTTGGGAAAAATAAAAACTGGACAAATTCAGATAAGACATATAAAGTGCATAAATATAGAGAGGTATTTATTTGAACTATTCAAGATACTTACAGTGAAATATAGTAGATCCTTTATTACTAGGCATTACATTTAAAAAAAAATCTAATTGTGATTTTAAAAGACAAGCCCCAGAGCAAACAATAAACATGGGAAACGTTAAGATGTGATTCCTTGCTGAACTGTGCTACTCAGAACTGTTTGAAAATACAGGAAATAAAAGTACCCAGTACATAAGAAGATTTTTCCAAAAGGACAGCTTTTTTCCCCTACATGAACAACCACAGGCCCTCAACCCACAGCGTTTTAAAAGAGCAGCAAGTCATCAACATTACAAGAATTCACGGCAGTCCTTAGGACATAATGTAACTGATTAGATAGTCATTGCGTCTGGCCAGGTAAATCTGAAGGGAAGCATGAATTACAAAAAGAGGACGTGAGATCTCTGTAATATCATCAGATTTTAAAGTTTGGGGGGGTGTGGAAATATACAAGTGTATAAAAATATATGCATTTACATCTACATCTCTACAGAACATAGCATGAAGGAAGATCAAGACATCCAGATTTCAAGCACGATTTCCTCAGTGATTCGAAATTAATCTTTGTAACACAACTGTCTGCAGTTTTGGTTGTCTAATTCTTTTCCACAAATATAACAAGCAGTTAAATAGACCAACCTTATTAAGATCCAGATTCCACATTTTAATGTAACCATCGCTGCATGCAGTAACAATAACATGCTGTCCTTCTCTTTCAAAACTATAGATATCTTTTATTCTGTGAATAAAATGTAATACTTTGTTACTTTATAGCATGGCAGCTCAGTTCAGAATAGTAACCTGACAGATATTTAAAGAAAAAATAAATAAATTAAAAATAAAGAGTAGGCAACAGTTTAAAAATCAGTTTGAACAGAAAACCTGTGAACAACAGGCAGAAACAGTAATCTGTTTTGATGGCTGTCATTTACAGTGGGAATGCCTGCCTTTGCTAGGCTCGTTAGGATTCAATTCAGAACACTAAAACTTTTAAGCACACACTATTAACCACATCAATGACATTTTAGCTAATGCTTTTGTGTTTTGATGAATTAGAAGCAGCATTTGGACAAGTATTTGATGTTTGATAACAACAGAGAATATGTGTCTGAAAGAAGTACAAGTGGTTTGTTAGATTTAAGAATTCATAACAATCTGTAAAGACTGGTTAAACACCCTTTAGATGGTCTTGCAGGAAAATACTGGTACCCAATTTCAGAAATGCATAGATCACACACAGAGAAGTGTTTAAAATTTAATTTTAAAGTGTAGTATTTCTAATTCTATACCCTATTTTGCAACTTGCAAGGACAGCACAGTACTCGCGCTCATACTTTTAGGGACAAATCTGTCCCAGATTTAGCACATAAATAAATTTACTTTCTACACTAAAACAATATCAAAAGTAAAACCTGCTGAATATTGTAAGTCACTGAACTTTACTGAGTACTCAGCATTGCCATAAATATTTAAATAGTAACAAATACAGAATACCTGTTTTCATGAGCTTTGAATTCACACAGGCATTTTTGAGAGTCACAGCTGTAGAACCTTATAATTTCATCACCTCCAGCTATGGCAAGGATAGAATCCTTGGAATGGGAAAAAAAAATGCAAGTGTGATTAATTTCATGTGCTTCAAACCAACTAATTTCCTATCATCTTTCTTTTTTGTACTTACTGTAATAAACCTAAGCGAAGAAATTCTCTTCTCTGTTGTGATAGTGCCAGTGATTGAAGCTGTGTCAAGTTTGTAGATATCCACTTTATTTGTTATCACGGTCACATACTTCTCTCCATCAGGGGACCATTTAATTATGTGGGCATCTGTACATATTGATACATCTTTAGAATGTGCTAGACACTGTTTTCTACCTAAGCCTGAGAAAAATTCAGGAAAAAAACCCCAAACCTAGAAAAACAACTAAAACTATGCTCTTCAATGTTTATTTCTGATTATCAAAAGTTAGTTAAGAAAAACAAACCACATTTATGTAAGTGTCCTGACATAAAATTTCAATGAATAAACCCACTTACTTTAGTGTTGCTACTTTTTCCTTTAGGTAAATGATTATTATGAAGGACATAAGCTCATATATGCTTGCCTGCATGTGTAAAAAAAGATATTGTGGAAGTTGCTCGCAATTAACTGTCTTGTTGATTATTCCAGTCTACTTTTCTTTACACAGAAAATAGAACTATCTAATTCTACTTTTTAAGTGGATTTAGACTGATAAACTCACTTTGCTTCAGGTTTTTGATAAAGGCTGATCGTCCTTCTACAAGATTCCAAGTTCTGAAAGACAACAATAAAAAAGTGCATTCTGGTTAAAACAGCACAGTGAAACTGAAGTCCTATCTGCTGACATGAAGCATCCAAAGGAAGCTTTTAAACATCTCTGTGCCTTCTTAATGCACGAGAAAGTGATGACTTCACTTATCACTTGCAGACTATAATGTTGAATTTGTAATATTTATTTTAGAAGCCACCATTAGCAGTGCAGTGCCCAAAGGAGCCCAATACCAATTTGTGCTGTTAAAACAGCATTTTATATATTTAAACCACATATGTAAAGCAACATATAAATACTCCAAGTGAAAAATTACTTTTCTTACACTAAGCAAAACCTGACAGTTTTCAGAAGTTTAAACAAGTGTTACAAAATGCAAATACAATTATCTACAAGTGACAATAAGGAGTCAGAGCACAACAAGAAGCTAGGAACAGCAAGGACTGTTTTTAACAGACTTGGAAATATTGCTGGTACCTAGAACACAAAAAGACAAAACAATGGATCACTGAACCGCATGATGTGCAAATATGTTTTATCAGTGTTGCACAGTCTAGTCCCAACACGGAATAGTTGCTTTTAACTATTTATTAAGAGTTACTGAATTACGATTCTCAGCATTCCTCCATCAGTTCCAACTCACCTTAATGTTTTATCTGTTCCTACTGACAAACATAACTTCCCAGAAGGATGGATAGAAAGAGATGTCACATGCCCCCTGATGAAACCGAAACAACGTATTAGCCACATATTCTTTACAAGGAAAATCAACATGAAAATGTATGTGAATACACAGAATTAGGAAACTCACTTATGTGCCTTAATGGATTTCAGGCACTCCCATCTCTTTGTGTTCCAGATACAAATCAGCCCATCTTCAGCCCCACTCAGTAGATGTGCAGTACCATAGAACTCCAAACAAGTTATTGTGCCTAGAAATAAAAACAGTGCTATGAACAATGTTGTACATACCGAACAGTTATCACCCAGAGAACATACGAATTAACAGACAAGCTTATAGCATCAAAACATGCCAGTATTACCCTACCCTTAGGAAAATCAGAATTATTTCCTAAGTATTTTTTCACGAAACCCCCAAACTTTCTTATTATATTCAATCACTGTTGTGATTAAATATATCTATCAGCTGCCCTATAGCCAGTATACATTTGAACTCCATCTGGTCTGTTCTCTGAAACAGCAGTGCTCAACCACTGTGGCTCAGAGCTTCTATCAGTGATAAGGAATGCTCCTATGTCAAAGCCCTGCTCTTGACACACAGCTGAATTTACTGCACATGCTGCTTTCCATAAGCACCAGATTTATCACATGTGAGTTGAACACAGGTACCATGTTCAATTTAGCTCTAGGTACTTTGGTTATCAGGAGAAAAAGGACAATCCAGATTGAGCCACAAAAGACAAGAACATGAGTGGGGCTTTGTGAGTTTTTTTTGTTTGGTTGGCTGGTTTGTTGGTTTTTAGGTTTTTTTAATTACTGAATGCAGTCCTAAGGAGAAGGACGTGGGGGTGTTGGTTGATGAGAAGCTCAACATGAGCCAGCAGTGTGCACCTGCAGCCCAGAAAGCCAACTATATCCTGGGCTGCACCAAAATAAGTGTGATCAGCAGGTTGAGGGAAGTGATTCTCCCCCTCTACTCTGCTCTTATGAGACCCCACAGCAGTACTGCATCCAGCTCTGAGGCCCAAGCATAAGAGGGATGTGGACCTGTTAAAGTGACTCCTGAGAAGGGCCACAAAGATGATCAGAGGGCTGTAGTACCTCTGCTATGAGGACAGGCTGAGACCGTTGGGCATGCTCAGCCTGGAGAAGAAAAGGCTCCTAGAAGATCTTTTAGCAGCCTTCCAGTACCTAAAGGGAGCCTACAAGATATCTGGAGAGGGACTTTAAAGGCATGTAGTGACAGGACAAGGGAGAATGGCTTTATACTGAAAAAAGGAAGATGTAGATTAGATATCAGGGAGAAGTTCTTTCCTGTGAGGGTGATGAGGCGCTGGCACAGGTTGCCCAGAGAAGCTGTGGCTGCCCCATCCCTGGCAGTGTTCAAGGCCAGGCCGGATGGTGCTTTGGGCAACCTGGTCTAGTGGAAGGTGTCACTGCCCATGGCAGGGGGCTTGGAACTAGATGATCTCTAAGGTCCTTTAAAACCCAAACTGTTCTGTAATTCTGTGATTCGGATGGCCATTAACTGATGTATTACACACACAGCTGTAAGCCAGCAGATGCAAAGTGGGAAAAGTACCAGGTTAACTCTTCTGGCAGCAGCATCCTCCTCTCCCATACAAGCTCTCTTTTGTGTGGCTCATGCACATCTGCGACAGGACAAGGACACTTGAAAAGATGATTCTTGGGAGTAGGCATGGTTCTTTTAGACCTGAAATGGCTTATGAGCCACTTGTGGGCCATAACTTCATAAACAGTTCAACCTAAAAATAATTTGAAGCAGCAGCTATATTTGTGGAATAATACCCAAAATAATTTTTGGATTTCTGTGCTCAAAAGCTTACCTTGCTTGTATTGTCAGACTATAATGGCTGCAACACCATCACTATTAAAGACTTATTAAAAAAATATTCCATTTCCTTCTTCTGACAAGGGCCAGTCTTTCAGCTGTAAGTTTCTAACATCAGTGTTTTTTGCGAAGAAAAGCTCCCTTACCATTGTGCTGCAGCAGTGCCCCATGTTCTATCTTCTTTTTCATGTCATAGATTTGGATTGTCTCATCTCTGCTTCCAGTGACCACGTATCTGTTATTCACAGCTACTGCTGACAACGAGGCAGTGTGGGCATGATGTGTAAAATGAGGGGCAACTGTCCAGGACTGTAAATGAAAGACAAAACAAACAAATCTTTCTGAAGCTTAACTTCGACTTCATCGTCTTGTACTTTTTTTTTTTTTTTTAAGCAAAACATGAAAAAAATTGTGTAAAATGCAAAGGAATTAGCTGTAGGTATAATGGGATCTTATTGAGTCAATGTGCTCTTAGATTAGTCTGAACTATTACGCGTGCAAACCGTCTCCTGTAATGAGTGATGGGCTTAGATGAAGCTGCATGTGAAAAAGAATCTCCACAGAGATAAATCTCACAGACAAGGAAGGCGGATTCTCCCTTTTTTCCACCATTACAGGCTGGAGACACGCCTTCCACCTGACACCAGCCCCCCGAGGCACTGTGGCATCCATCCTCTGCGCAGCTGTTTGCGCCCAGCTCTGCGCTGAACGGCTGCTGAGGAACGAGCTCCCACCGCAGC